CAGTCTGTTAATCAGGGTTTTGAAGCAGTGTATCAGCTAACTAGAATGTGCACCATAAGAATGAGTTTTGTGAAAGGGTGGGGAGCAGAATACCGGTATGAATACATATTTGGTTCTTAAATTTCTACAATGTAGTTATTTTTTATTCCATTCATTTGCATCTTCTGGAGTTCATTTATGTCTGTTTTCTTTGAAGTTGTGGAGTCAGCAGATCTTTGTGTAAAATAATGCAGTAAAATTGGAGACCTCTAGATTAATTGTGCTGGAGAAGATAATGATTAAAATATGCACAGACATTTTAATATAAAGAAGAGTGTTAAATATCATAAAGTGTGTATTTGGCCCTTCAGTTCATGGAAAGATTCCTGGTAGAGATGGCACATGATCTAGGTCAGTGATGGCGAAACTTTTAGAGCTTTCAATGTTCACAAACAGCCAGCTGTGGCATGCACACCGTAGGTACACCACCACTGATCTAGGTTCTAAATGATGGATAGGATTTCAGTAGATGAGGATGGGTGACATGGGAAATCTGGACAATAGAATAGCAATTTAGTTTGGAGTATAGAATGTCGAGAAAAATAAACTGTAGCAATAAATTGAGACCAACGGAGCAAGTAATCTCCTTTTATCTGCATTTCAGTTTCTTTTACCCACAGTCAACTGATGTTAATTTCCTATCACTTTTAGGTTGCTACATATGCATGTGTAGCAGAGAATTTTTCAGCCATAGACCTGCAATTGGAAATTGGCTAGAACACACTAAGAATCTTAAGGGTGTAGTGGGCACTGACACCATTGGCTATAGAAAGTAACATTCCTGGAAATACAATTTTAAATTGCATCGGCCCTTGTTTAGAGTTGAAGAGTTGGCAATCAACTGTTCTCATGTTTGAAGGGCTGTTAGTTTGAAGAAGTAAAAGCAGATGTATTGACTTATTCTGTATGATGAAGACAGAACTAAAATCAGGCTGTCACTGAATAATTTGTAATTCCCAAGAAGTAGCTCCTTTTGTTCAAGTACTAAAGGTGTGTATTTTTTTTGAGGGGGGTATTTGTTTTATTAGTCAAAAGCTTGAATAACATTGCTAAAAGGAATGTTTTATATTGGCTCTGTCAGGGAAAGTTTAACCCCAAGTCTTAATAACACTATGGTAAAGGCTTACCCGAGGTAGAAATTCTTATTGTTCTGATATACTTTAAATTTGAGCTGGGCACGGTGGCACAGGTCTGTAATCCTAGCACTTGGAAAGTTGGGGCAGGATTGCTGTTAGTTGGAGTCCAGCCTGAGCTACTCAGTGAGTTCAAGCCTGAACTACATAGCGAGACCTTGTCTCAATAACGAAAATAACAAGAAAAAGTTTGAACCCTGTTTTGTGTAGACTCTTTGGTATTTGAGTGTCTACTGTTCTTTGATTGACTGAGTAGGATGACTGTATGTTGGAGTTTTCTTGGGACAGTCCTTCCTAGTTTACATTTCTCTTCTTGGCTTGATAATGACGCCTATATATTTTCTTTCAAAGGTATCCCACTTATGTGATGGTAAATAATAAATAGTCACCATACTAATTTTAATTTGAAAGGAAAATAATTTTTCAAAATAATAGTTGAGTATCCAAAATTAATATTTAAAATAAATTAGTTTTACATGTACGGCCTTTATGTTTTCAAAAATTCTTAATATATGTACCTTATCACAGCCATCTTTCCCTTTAATTTCATTATTTTCTTGTAATCCTTCCCACAGAAGGCAGACAGTAACAAGTACTCCTTGCTGGATTGAACTTCATCTGAATGGACCTCTACAGTGGTTGGACAAAGTATTAACTCAGATGGGATCC